GTGCGCGTATGATTTGCATAAAAAGTATAACAAATATTTTCTGCGAACCCAATAATGCACCCAATTCAATAGCCATAGCAGCGCCAATATAGGTTAGCACTATTTGGATATAAGTAGGTAATTACATACATACATATAGTATATCCGTGTTACATAGTAGATATAAATAATGCAATTTCGATTGTTAGTCAATATACATACAAATATGTACATACACGAATTTTTACAACAAAGCAACCGCCTTTTTATCGTCCGATAAACTTATCGTCGCTGTGTAAAACAAAAGATAACTTATTCTACGTTAGAGTGCTCTAGGGAGGGAGTAATAGTTAGTCATTGACTAGGGAAACATAAATTTTACATTTTATGAAATATTAATGTCGGAAGGTGGCTTTAACAATTAGTTAAATAATAAATTTCGAGCGCATAACAGTAGTTTTAATTTTACAGAAAAAAATCCAGCATAAATCGCTTACAACTCGCACACAAAAACTAAAGTAGCTAGACAAGCATCTAATGGGTAGGAAGAGCACAAAAAAAGCGAGTTTTTTTAGTACTAATTATGGCTTTAATAGATTCTTCATAGCTTCCTACCTCGACTTATGTGTAGACTTAAAAACTCATATTACATAACCGTGGGGAGGACATCTCTTCAAATCGACAAAATATCTATATATTCTTGTCAGCGTTCATTAGGCTGGGTCGATTTTGTATGGCGGAAAATAATATATTTTCACTATTACCAACGCATTTGGGAAAAATTTTATTTTCGACCCGCCTTAGTATTCCAATTTACACACGAAATAAAATTAATAACCGAATATAATACACCTGAATACTATTAAATACGTAAATTTTTCAAGTGTCCTCCCCAAAAGTTTGCAAACTGTAGTGGCCGTTTAAAAAGTAAAAATTATCGAATATAAAGCATAACATTAAGGTATGACAAAATTTTAAAGAAAAAAAAAAATAGTACCAAGAAGATGTATTCTTTTTCCAAATAAAGAACAGCCCTTGGAGTGTTGGTGGTCCACAAGCAAACTTCTTAGGATAATAGCAATTAGAAATGTTCTGAAATTCGTACGATTTGCGATCACGCAAAAACGGCTTAACGCATTGGAATGAAATTAGGCACGTAAATAGCTTATTGCCCGGATTAAAATATAGGATATTTTAAGTGAATCAGGCACAGATCTATCCGAAGCTCCTTTAACAGTTTTCATGTAAAGTAACAGAACATTCCTGATGATAAACATTAGGGCGTCCCGAAAACCAAAACATACATTCCTACTTATATAAATTTTTTGGCTCAAATGTATAAAATTAAATTAGGACCAAGGAAATTTGTGCCTACATATGTATCAAGATTTTTTTTTAATATCCAGATTCGAATATCTAATTAAAAATCCGAATATCCGTTTACCGAGATAACAAATAGGATATAATGGATAATAACAGCATATCAGGATTTTGTCCGTTAGACGAATATCCGAACCAATATCCAGATATTCGGATACATGGATAGTCCCAGTCCTAATGACCTACACACATCTTTTGTAAACTCGGTGCAAATTATTTTGTAAACTCTGTGCAAACTAAGCATAAACCTTATCTGCAAACAACCCTTTCAAGTATTTAAAAATAAATAATTTTAAAATGTAAATATTTATTACACTAGGGATGTTCAGTATCTTGTGCATATGCTCTTGCATTTGCATATTCGGTGCATCTGTAAATTTACAACAATAAAATACCATGGTAGCAAACACTAAAATTTGCAAATGCAAATGCGTATGCAAATCCAAGACTTTTTGTCCAAAATCCTCAATAGCCCTATTAATTTTGTATCATTCGATGTCGTTGCAAATTTTCACATATGCATTTAAAGGTTAAATATTTGAAAAAAGTTAAAAATATCCTTTGAAAATTTTATTCTTCAATATTCTTCTTAAAAAAGAAGAACAAGGTACAGGCCTTTATGGCTCCAAAATTTTTTTCTCACCCGTAATTATTTTTAAAACACTTTTATAATATACATAAGCCTCAAAATAAGGCTTTAAAGGCTTAAAATTATTTATATCACTTATAATTATTATGATTAGACTTTCATAATGCATATAAGCCTCAAAGTAATAGTTATAGATGACACAAAAATTGTATATAATCCCTGATCTGTAATCAATAATCACTGATTGAATTTTATTCGTTTTTCTTTAGTTATGTCTCTGTAAAAATCTTCAACTGCTTTTCACAAGGATTTTTCTTAAATTTTTTGTCATTCAAATGCCTAGTGAAAATTCGGCATTATAATATAATAAAATTAAAACTAATAACGATGCCATAAACATAATTAAAAAAAGTTCACTAGCTCCAAAAAAGGCAATCAACGTTTAAATATTTATCTATTTAAACAATAATACAAAAAAAATACAAAAAAAAAAAAGTATGCGCCAAAAAAGAAATTGTGCTAACATTCACATTCCGATGTACTCGTAAAAGTAAAAAACAATGTGTAGAGCTGCTTAACAATAATTTAAGTATTTATGTACCTGAAACATAGTCGACATAAATATACGCGTATTAAGTGGCATTATCGTGTCTAAAGTGTGTACATCACTTGTGCACCGATCTAAAATTCGCCCACTGGGCGTTGTATCGAAAAATGCCGATGGCAAGTGCAAGAGATTACTGTTAAGCTCGTGAGAAATGCGCAAGGATGCATGTATGGTGGCCATAGCTATAGCCAAAGAAGCGCCATAACTGCAAAGGCCTGTACGGATGAGATATTTATGATCGTAAATTTTTAAGTACAGTGCATAGTTAGATTACTAAAAAGTCCAATACTCTTTATCCACGCGCTGCTGCAAGAATAGTAAAATCATTGTGGAACAGCAAATGATTATGATTGTAAGATCATGAATGGAGCGGAAAATTATGAGAGAATTATGAATTGAAAAATTTTGCGTCGTGTACAAACCATAAAGGAACAGAGCTGCAAA